ACTGATTTTTATTTATTCACTGGATTGGACTCCAGATGAGTTAGAGGAACTGTTACCAGCGAATATAGAAATTTTTGAGAGTCTGACCATGACAGAGAAGCTATAGTTGGATAAGTCCTAAAACAAGCCTCTACATTAAACCACACAGATAAATAAAGGTCTCAGAAAACCAGATTAACTTTGTATTCTACTTTGAAACAAAAGTTTTACTGCAATAAATAACACAAATTCAAATGCCAACTTAGACCGAGATCTTGGCCACTCTGGAGAGTACCATGAAGGAATCAATTGAGCTCTCATTCAAGATAGATAAGGACTCAATTCCAGGTAAAGTACCCATTCTTTAAATAATATTAATAAACTTTCAATAATAGTCTAAGAAGTATTTCATCAAAACTGTATGTTTAGACGTTACAGAAGAACTTACCAGGGTTCAACAACTCCATGAAGAGTTTCTGAAAAGCAGCTGAAAAAGGTAAAGTTCTTGGAGATGGCATATTTAAAAAGTTACTCTGCTGTTTACTTTTATCAAAGCTTCTAGTTATATTATTTTCTTTGTTCAACAGCTTTCTTTGATCCCAGAACGGTCATCATGACATGTTGGATCTAGGGTTGTTCAAGATGAGGGTGCCTTCACTGAGAATGAATTGTTTGCCACAATTGTTTTTGTCATTATTGGTTTAAAGTGTTTTACAATCAATTTAAGTCTGAAAAAATGTTTAGGAAAGAGAAAAAAATATTTTTTTCCTGATGAATATAAAGAAGTAGTAGCCTTTTTCACATTAGATTCTGATAGAAAAATGTAATACTGATGAAGTGAGGGGAAAAAACGTATGTACTATTATTCAATCCAATCAGCAATATTTTTGGTGTAATTTTTATTGTTCGTAATTTAGGATTTAAGTAAAATAATATTTTGTATCCAACTCTTTTTCTTTGGTTCATGTAATGGTAATAAAATCATCTGATCTAATATCTTTTTTTTTTTTTGGTAAGAAAATAAAGTACCGACTGAGTGAATTACCCTCAACCTCCTTTATTTAACAGGATTGAATAGTTAAATACCTTTTCCCCACTAAACTCTACAACTGTAATATATTGTTGCGCCATATGCCATGATCATACTTTCTGGACATAGGGAACCAGTGTCCATATCTCATCTTGACATGATGATGTGGATTCAGCTGTGAATCTATGCAACCCCCCATCCCCCCCCCTTTCAGCCAAGGCCTCCACAGGTATGTCACATGGCAGGTAACAGAGGTGTGACCAACCACCCCCCATCTGTTTGAGGACAGACAAAATCACAGAGCACATAAGATTTTTTCTCTCTTTGCCTCAAGGATAAGTCAGAAGCTTTCAGAACCAAACTGCTGCAAAACAGACCTTTTGCAACACATTTCTGTTGAGTTTTAGCACTTATAGAGCTAGACTGGATGAGAAGCCTGCCCTGGGTGTGAAACACTGAGACAAAGAGGACCCCCTGGAAACCCCTGCCTGTTGCCCTGACTGCTGAGCTGCAGCTGGATTAAACTCAAGCTTTCCAAACTGACGTGGAAAAAAGCTTTGCAGGTCTGGCATAATTAGGGACAGAACAAACAATATGTCTATTGATGATGTTGATCCTTTCATGCAAGGGCGTAGGTTTGATTTGAACTTTGGTAGGGACACTATTGGTCGGGTGTCGTTGGTGCTGCAATATGCATGCCCTTTTTTATGCTCGAAGTGAGCATCTGTACTGATAAGTGGAATTTATTGTTATTGTTAAAAGAGAAAAGCATCATTTTGCTACATAAATAAAAAAAAAATTAAGCACTACACTCATTAGATGCTGTTTATCAAAGTTTGAAGTATCACCGGCTCTGATGAATGTGGAATTAGGACTGTTTTCCACTTTGAAAATTGTTTCATTTGAACGACTAAGAAAGAAAGTAAATACAATATTTTCTTTTGAAGATATAGAATTGTGCAGAGTTAAACCCCACTCTTATATTTTACCTTCTATGCTCTCTCTGTATCAAGTAAAATAATACATTCATTAAAATATTAACTTCACTATAAAGTTGAACATCTGGGCTGTACATAGTTACTCTGTGTAGCCCAATTCATGTATTTTATCTGGGGCTGAAAAAATGAATCGTATTAATTGATTATTTCAATAATCATCAACTAATTTAGTAACTGATTCATCATTAACTGGAGAATAGACTGTAAAACATACAGTAATATAAATGTAAAATGTGCCTTTCCCCGACAGAGCAACCCACTTAGATCAGTAATTTTACCAAAATTGTAAAAATACAATATATATAATATATATAAGATTAAAAAATGTTTTTGTCTGTGAATATTCTCCACCCAGAACTCCTCATGTGGAAATATTTTAGTTTCACCTGGTTT